GGTCATGTCCTTTGGAATGATATTAATATACTGATATTTTACTATGAAGTCGTATTGTTTACTTTTTACACAGATTTTAAGTTCTATGATCAAAATTATGTTTCCTTACATAAAGAAGAGTTATGTTTTAGTTTCAGAATTTCTTATTTCTGTGGAAAATTATTCATAAAACATCCCTGCAAACATTACATAGCTTTCTCCTTTTTCTCTGCTCTGAACATATCATCTAAAACTACCTCTCGATACAAAGCTTTTTCCTTTTTCAGTTTGTGGAGTTAGTTAATTAGTAGGTAAGGTTAATAGTTTTGTTACCTCCGAGAAAGTAGCTAAAAGATTATACTCAATTTACGGAATATTATAGTCAAACACAAGTTTGCTTAAGGATTTTCCTTGCTTTGTGTAAGTTTATGAATCTCCGTGGAGAGTTATGTTATTAACAAAGCCTTTATATAGGCAGTACAAGAGTGCTCTACAAGTATATTCTTTACATATTTAGAGAATATTCAGGAATAAAAAATAATGTATAAATCCTTATTGTAACACTCATCCACAGTCTAAGCGGGATGCTTCCAGACGCTTAGAGTAGACCGAAAATCTTCGAAGAGAGAAACCAGAAGTCCTTTAATAAATATATCAGCATATTGTAGAGCAGATGGAACATGTAAAACTCGAACCTGTCCCAAAGCAACTTTCTCCTGCACAAAATGTATGTCAATGTCTATCTGCTTAGTTCGTTGATGCTGAACTGGATTGGAAGACTAGTAAACTGCACTTACATTGTCACAAAACACCACTGATACCTTAGAAAGAGAGATGCCGAGTTCACCAAGAAGTTGACGAATCCAAGTGAGCTCGGCAACAGAGTTGGCAACACCACGATATTCAGCCTCAACACTTGAACAAGAAACTGTTTGCTGGCGTTTTTGCAGACCATGATACAAAGTTATCACCAAGAAAAACACAATACCCAAAGGTGGAGCGTCGGGAGGTTGGACACCCAGCCCAATCAGCATCAGAGTAAGCAACTAAACCAGCAAGTGATGATCGATATAAGTCCATGAGAAATAGTGCCCTGGACATATCGTAGAATACGCTTGAGTGAATGGAGATGTGACTCACAAGGGGTCATGCATGTAGAGACAGATCTGATGAACAGCATAAGAGATGTATGGCCGAGTGAAGGTAAGATACTGTAAAGCCCCGGCAAAACTACGATAGAAGGTAGGATTAGGGACTGGTGGACTATCATCTGCAGCGAGCTTGGATTTTGTATCAACAGGTGTGAGACATGGATTACAATCTGTCATTCCAGCACGGTGAAGCAGGTCAGCAGAATAATTTTGTTGATGTAGAAACAAGCCTAAAGCGTTCGTCGTCACATTGATCCCGAGAAAATGATGAAGCAGACCAAGGTCGTTCATCGAGAATTCAGAGCTGAGAGAAGCAATGATGGATTTCAGAAGAGTAAGAGCAGAAGCAGTAATCACAATGTCGTCCACATAAAGCAATAGATACGCGAGATGAGGTCCGCGTCGAAGAATAAAAAGTGACGGATCAGAGAGACTTTGTTTACAACCAATCTTTCAAGCAGATACCGCAAATCGTGTGTACCAAGAGGAGCCTGTTTAAAGCCGTAGAGAGAACGGTAGAGAAGACAGACATGATCAGGTTTAGACGGATTGAAAAATCCAGGAGGTTGATGCATGTAAACCATTTTCTTCAAATCAACATGAAACGCATTCTTGACGTCGAGTTGGTGCAGCGGCCATTGACGAGAAGTAGCAACACTAAGGACAGTACGGATAGTCGCCGGTTTGACAACAGGGCTAAACGTCTCATTACAATCCACTCCAACTTGCTGCGATTTTCCATTAGCGACAAGGCGTGTTTTATACCAAACCAGCTTCCCATCTGCATTGAACTTATGCCTGAACAACTACATACAACGAATAATGTTAGTATTCTGGGGCCGTGGTACTAGAGATCACGTACCCGTTTTAATAAAAGCATCATATTCTTCTTGCATTGCAGGTGTCCAGTTAGGGTCTCTAGCTGCGTGAACATGGGAAAAAGGAAGGGGAGAGACGGTGGAGGTATGAAGGCATAACCGTTGAACCGGTTTCTGAATACCAGCCTTGGCGCGAGTCTGCATAGGATGAGCATTAGTCGGAGGTGGTGGAGGAGACGGATGAGCCGGTGGTGATGGTGGTGAAGTCGGCTCCAATGGTGGAGACGGTGGTGGAGTAGGTGGCAGAGAGACTGGTACTGGTGGACTCTCATCTGGCATAGTGATGCAAGGAGGTTGCATCGGTACAGAAATGGCTGTAAGACAAGAAGGCTTGGATTAGTCATGAGCAGCAAAGGGAAACACAGATTCGTCAAACACCACATTTCGAGACAATATGATGCGATTTGTGGCGATGTCAAGATACCTGTATCGCGATGATCAACTGCATACCCGAGGAAGACACAAGGAGTAGAGCGTGGAGCGAGCTTGTGAGATGATGTTGGTAGAAGATTTGGGTAACATAAGGAGCCAAATACCTGTAGATGATCGTACGAGGCCGGTCTGCAGAAGAGAAGGGAGTATGGAGTGGCCTTTCCAATGGCGTTGGTTGGAAATATGTTGAGGAGATGAGAGACGGTGTTAAGTGCTTCCGTCCAATAAGAGAGAGGCATCGATGCTTGATGAAGAAGAGACCGGATCATATTGTTGAAAAGTGAATGTAGTGGCTCAAGAGATCACTCTTTCGACGGAGAGGATACACCCAAAGAAACTGTGAGAAATCATCGAGAAACCACTGATACTAGGTAAAGGTGAGGGCCAAATAAGCAACATAGTATTTAAAACATGGCTCTGGTACCATGTAAGTTTATGAATTTCTGTGGAAAGTTATGTTATTAACAAAGTCTTTATAGAGGGAGTACAAGAGTGCTCTACAAGTATATTCTTTACATATTTAGAGAATATTCAGGAATAGAAAATAATGTTTATTTCCATATTCTAACACTTTGCAGGTTTTTTTTTTCTTTTTAATGTCAGAAATCAGTTTCCTTTCTTGTATTTGAAGGCATTGCCTCTCTCTCTCTCATGGATTTATTAGCATCCTCTTGATTTCTGCAGAAGTTCTGGAACCAAACGAAATTAAAACCTTCTGATATATCTTTTTTTGTTTTTTTTTTTGTTAAAGACCTTATGATATATCACTCATAATTAAACCTTACCAATGAAAAAAACAAAAAAAACCTTACCAATGACTATTCATAAGTTAAGTCTCTAGCATGAGCATTTGTAGCTCTCTACAATATGAACAAGACGAAGAAGAAGGAAAAAATAGCACATTACATTATCCAAGATTTAATTTACAGAAATCTGCACACCTAATTCGAGATGAACTATGAATCAAAAGATAAGAACCTTTAAGAACTTTTTCGCTTTTCGATGCACATAAAGAAAACGTATCTCAAAACTTCAAAGAAGCTTGGGATAAAAGTATTTAGGCCATACAATTGCTCAGTGTGATATGAAAGGAGACGATCATATGTCAAAACCAGCTACCTCAAAAATCCTAATTAAAGCAGACAAGGAGTTTGGTCCATTTAAAAAACTAAATTTGTCATACATTGAACAGAAACCGAAACTAGACTTCCAAGAATTCATGTACAAAACCATTTGGTGCTTAATCATGGAGCCTTGTTGCAAGACAAAGCGATCTTCTGAAGTTTGCTCCATTAATGTACTATTGCTCCCTTAGTTTTGATTTCTTAAATTACTAACATGTTACTAGTTTATTTTCAAACATACAAAATTTCTTTATTTCTTATATGAATTCTCTTATCTGTATACTTGTTTGAGTAGTGAAAAGCTTACGTGTCAGCTCCACATCGAGTTTCAAAACGTTTTGTTTATGTATCAGCTCCACAATGAGGTTCAGCTGCAAAAAGACTTTTTAATCTTATTTTTCAATTATGTGTCATTTTTAATTAGTTTTTATCTGATGATGTGTTAAAATCTAGGAAAAATTGGAAATTTAAGACAAAAAATAGAAGAACTTGTCCCTCTAGTACTTTTTTAAATTTTGGCAATTATGGACCAAAATTAACCTTGTAAATACTTTTAATTTCGAAAATAAATATTTATATATAGTTATTAACTCCGAAAATTCCAAAAAAGTAAAGAATATTATTCTAAAACATTATTTTAGGAAATACATGTATTTAAAATTTACTTATAAATATGTTCTAGATAACGTGTTCTATACTTCTAGTGTGTTATAGAATTCTTTTTCTATTATTTGGTATGAGATCAAGCAAGTATAGAATTCAGTTTCTACTATTTGTTATATGATCAACCGAGTCTAGAATCGGTTTCTACTATTTGGTATATGATCAACCGAGTCTAGAATCGATGTTCTACCTTTCTAAATCTCCCTTTAGAATACGTTATCTATAACTTGTACTATATTCTACATATTGTAGAATTTGTATTCTAGAATTCGTTATATATTCTATGTTGTCTAGAATTTAACTTCCACTGGTTAGTCTTTGTTCTAGTGAATATAGAATCCGAATTCTACAAAACGGTTAACAGAATCACAGAAAATCTAGGATCAGGTTGTATCCAACAAAAATTAAATATTTGAAAATATTTTATTTTCCTTTTGTTGTTTCACGTTTTTTAACTTATTTGGGAAGTTTTTTATCTGTTCTTCTTCTCTTTCACGACAATTTAACGATCTCATTGAATTTCTTCTATGATTTCTGTTCTTCTTTGATTTCTGTTCTTCTTTGATTTCTGTTCTTCTTTGATTTCTGTTCTGGTTATTAAATTATGGTGCATATCTATGTCACCTGTGGTATATGGAGATCGATTCTCAATAAAGATTGGGTTTTTGCCGTCGATGAAGAAATAAAAGGTCGATTAGTAACTTTGGAATCAAGTACGATGAAGAAAGAAAAGGTCGATTAGTTCCCGGGGTCTTTATAGTTGAGCCCGGTGATTGCATAGAATTCCTGTAAAGAAAATCGCAAAGGTCTCCCAGCAAAGACGAACCATAACTCATGAATCTTGTCCGTGATGAGCTGCTTACACATGAAACTGTGAATGAATCTCGCCGAGTAGCCAAGTCTGTTTTTATTAATCCTTAGAAACGGACCAAAGACAGGATCTTTCAAAACCTTCTTGTACTCATCTGGCAGCTTTGCATTCAACTTGCTTAGAATGGATAATGAACATCGGTTGGTAATCTTCTCTATCGGAGGCACACTTCCAGGCGGAAACAGCAGTTTCGGTAACTCGTTGGAATTCATACCTACAAAGTATACAAAATCTTATGTCAGTATCACTATAAATAAAGAATAGCATGATAACACTTCAAACTAGAAATGTTTTCATTAAAGAGTTTACACGTAAAATGGCTTTTTATAAAGAAGACCCATATCCACAGAAATAACAAAATACGCCTATAATTTACACACTGCCGTATACACTCTATACCAATTTTATAATATGAATATAAGAGACCAACCAAACAAATTGCAGAAGCTGAGAATGTCTTACGAAACTGATGAAAACTTATGTATGATCAACAACTCATTACTATATTATTCCAGCCATCTATTTACAGGAGCTGTCTACAACACTCACACAATAAATATAAAACGTTAAGACTTACGTCTGACTTATGTCCGACTTATGTCCGGTGCCGTCTATACTCTAAACCAATGTCCACACTCGAATTTATCATGAAACAGATTCCATTATATAAACCAAAATCACGCAAACAACCAAAGATGACAGAACCCAATAGCCACCAATTACAAACACACAACTAATCAAATGTCTGAAACAGAAAGTAACGCAACTCAAGAAAATTTTCAACACCTGGTTTTCCAATGTTTGTTCAAGGTTGATTCAAACTTATTAAAAAAAAACATTTTTTCGAAAACAAGAAGAAAACAAGGACAAAGATGTATTCTTTCAAATGAACAAAGCCAAAAGCTCAAGGAGGAAACAAGAATATTTGGTTAAAACAGTAAACATATAGATTAAAGCATTACCCACAGGCAAGAACCAAACATAATCATCACATACTTAAATAAAAATCAAATTTAAGCATCACATACTCAAGACATACTACCATTGTCACAAGTTAGACAGCCAAACTAGCACTGTCACAAGTTAGAAAGCCAAACTACCATTGTCAAAAGTTAGTATTCCTTGGTATAATAAATCAATCGCCGAGAATTTTTCAAAGTCAGAGGAAAACAGAGTTAGTATCTCTTGTGAATTTTCTCACAAGTTATACGACAATGTTGCCTCCAAAAACCAAGCTAACATTGTGACCATTTTCAGTCAAAGGATGATACAATGTTCACAATGGATACTAAACAGAAAATTAAGAGGAAAACAGCTTACTTTTTGCCGGTGGACGAGTTGGAGAACTTCTTGGAAGCCTCAGCGACGGGAACAGCGACGGATGATGAACAGCGAGTGAAGACTTCTTCTCGCCGGAGCTATGGAGACGGAGCTAGGACTGGCATCGTATTTTTCTCTGATAACGATGACTGCTTATCGCCGATATATCTCAGCCTGTATACAAAGTTACCCAAAATCAATTTGGGATTTTAAACCCTAATATTGAGATTGAACAAAAAATAGAGTGAATAGATTGAAGAGGTTACCAATTGGATGAGAAGATTGATGACAATTGAAGAAGGACTCTGCTGGAGAACTCGATTGAGAAAGAACGGAGAAAACGATGGACAATTTTGGGGAAGACGATGATATTGTGTTCCAATATTTGTCCCGTAATTGTATTGTAATTTTTTTTATAATTTATATTCTTAATTCATATATGGTAAAAACAATATATTAATATGAGAAAATTCATTTTTTAGGGGCAAAAGAGGATTATAATTGACATAAGTATTAAAGAGACAAAATTTTTTAAAAAAGTACTAGAGGGACAAGTTCTTCCATTTTTTGTCTTAAATTTCCAATTTTCCCTAAAATGTATATACTTATTTGTGTAGTGAAAAGCTTTCGTATCAGCTCCACATCGAGTTTCAAAACGTTTTGTGTACGTGTCAGCTCCACATTGAGTTTCAGCTGCAAAAATATTTTTTAACCCTATTTAATAATTATGTGTCATTTTTAATTGGTTCTTATCTGATGATGTGTTAAAATAACATAAAACATACCACACTAAATTATTATTGTTTAATATTCAAAACGTTTTTCAAATTTAATATAACCGATATTTAATCAAATCTAACAAAAAAATTGGTATATTATCGAGGTTATTAAAGAAAAAAAATCAATGAATAGAATGTCTAGTAGAATGACGGTATTTGCGATGTCTAGATTAAGGTTTTTGACTTCAAATGTTTTAGTATAAATATGTACGACTCCTCTATAATTCTCTCACACCCTTCTAAATAGTTAAATCTCTTCCTTCTTCTTCGACTAGGTGCGACATACAAGTGAAAACATATATTCTTTTGGATTTCTCGGTTTAATAAGAGAAGAGATAATACAAAGGCCAACAACTAGAAGATAAAAAAAGAGCAGAGAGAGTAACAAGATAGTCATGCGGCACAAGTCAAATCTGAGTAGAGGTTTTCTATTATTTATTTTCTGTCTTCAGTTTAGAGAAGAAACGAGATAGTAATGTGATAGTTTTTCATTCTATTTATTTATGCATCGGTTTTCAGGGTTACTTCATAATTGGGTAATGTCTTTCAATACTCAAAATACAATTTTCAGTCCCTTTTCCGGGATATCCCGTCCCAGTTTTTAAAATGAAAAGGCGTAAACATACATATGAAAAACTTAACTATTTCTTTTGTTTTGTGTCTGATATGAAGTTTATGCTTACTAACTATATAAATTTTATAGTTGCAAAAAATATTTATTCATTGTTTGATTTACATGAACCACAAGTTTTTTTTTTTTAGTCAACAGCCTAAATACCTAGAACGGTTAGACTAACCAAACCGGTGGCACCGAGTTTACATAGATGACTTCCCGATGATATACTCGAGCACTTCTTGCTAAGTTGTCTGCCTTCGAATTCTTCGCGCGTGGGATATGTGATAAAGTGAAAAAGCTAAACTTGTCTTTCATCTTCACAATCTCCTCCAAGTGTAGAGCAAATGCTGGTCATTCTTCTGGTGTAGACACCATCTCAACCAACTCCGAATAGTCTGTTGCAAAAACTACTTCTGTTTTCTGGTTCTCTAACATACAATGCATAGCCCATATTAGAGCTTCCATTTCCGCATGCAGAGCCGTTAAACTTCGTCTAATATTTTGTGCCCCCATTATTTTGTCCCTTACACCTTCTTTAAAATAATATCATCATAGTCCTGCCAATAATTCCGTTTCTTTCCAAAAGCGATCGATATAACACCACCACCCTTCGAAAGTTGCGGGTAATAAGGAGTCCATAGAAATGTCCGTATTTATGCGGTTTTAGTTCCCTGAATCATGTTCCCGCCTTTGAGCCTCTTCCCATAATGCCGCTTAAGTCTCCACTATTTTTAAAGTAACTTGTGGATCAACATCAAGGTTCGAATACACTTTCTCATTTTGTGCCTTCCAAATATACCATACAATTTATAGGAATGGTATGTTGTTTATATCCTTTGATATTCTCCAAAAAAGATGATCAAAATTTGAATAAACTGAGGTCATTGAAAAAACACCTGAGGGTGTTGGTATATGGGATATTGCCCAAGTTTGTAAAGCGGGGGGACATTCAAAAAGGGCATGGTTTATTGTTTCTTCCTCTGCTCCACATCATGCATATTGTGTATCACATTGTATTCCTCGCGTACTCAGCCTAGCCGGTACAGAAAGACATTCCGATATTGCTTGCCATATAAGGTATTTTAACTTAGGTGCCATATACATGAAACACGAGTTAAAGGGAGCAAATAATTTTCTTTTTTGCAATTTTATAAAGAATATTGAGATGAAATTATGGATTGTGTTTTATTAAAAGTTTGAACAAAAAATTCAAATATCAAAAAGCATTGGTAGATAATTTACAACAAATATGAACTTCAATTCAAATTTAATTATAATGGAAAATTGCATTAATAAATGGATCGCACATATTATCTTACAATAATTATTGATTTTAAATTTCATTTTCAATGAGATCTAATCAAATTTTTGATTTAGTATAAATCAATAAAAAGGTAAAAATAAAATAACATATTATATAAATTTAAAAATTTTAACATCTTATTTATTAAGTGTTTTTAATCCATACACGGTGCAGGACGTTAGCTAATCTATAATATTAGTCTATGACGTCATGACTAAGATAACTTCAAACACAAACACACGCCAACTTGAAGGAGGGTATTGGATATATCTGTCACGGTGATTGTTATTGGTTATCAATTTCTGATAATCACTGATATCAGTTAGGCAAATATATGTATATCAAAACTCTGTCAATCTCGTAAGTTTTTCCATTGGGACAATAACTTTGTATATACAAATCACTGTAATTAGGCAAATATATTGTGTCTCCACATGTATATTGTAAACTTGTATCGACCAAAGAATTACACATAATTTGTTTCCAATTTATTATCTACTTTTCTTTCTTCACCAAAGAATGACCTCAGCGAATACCAAAAATGGGGTTGCTAGTATATATAAATTTTTACTAAGCACATTATCCGAACTCGAACAATTTATCCAAACCCCACCCAAAAAAGAGAAACTAAATTCAAACCGAAACCGATAAAATACCCAAACAGTTTTTAAATTTTTAAATCTGAAAAACCAAAACCAAACCAAACCAAACCAAAAACCCAAATGAATATTCGAAATACCCGAAATACAATTATATACCCAAAATACTAGAGGTGTCAAATTGGGCTCTGACCTGCGGGTTCGATCCAAATAAAACTGCAGCGGTATGGGCTTGGGCTTCATAAAATTTGTCCAAATAAAAAGCGGGTTTTGCGGTCCAAACCCGCGTGGAAATTGGGCTTTTATGGGTCGGGTCAAAGCGGATCCGCGGGTTTGCGGGCCAACCCGCAAAATTTAATGTTTTCTTGTAAACTTTAAAAAGTGAAATATTTTGTCATTTTTTATTGGTGGATTTCGAAGTAGTAGCTTCATTGAGTGAATCAAAGAATAGTGAAGTCATACAATTCAGCTATTAGGCTTTGTGATAGCTTCATTTTAATAAGATCAAGGAATCATCAAACTGGTATGTGTTTTATATTGATTCGATTCAGATTCTGTGATTGGATTTTTGAATTTGGGAGAAAATATGGTCATTGTCTTCCCAGCTAAATATTAGTATTTTTTTAGAGTTTTTATTTCAGTTAATGTCATAAGTTTGCTTTTTTTGTTGGTTTTGCTCATCGACTATATCACGGACATGGTTTTTATTTTATCCGCAGCGATGCAAAGGTAATTTAGAATCGCTTAAATCTTGAATTGACAATAAATAGTTTTGCTTGAAAATCACATTTGTTTATACGCTGGACTAACAAATAAGCTTTGTTCATCTTTTTTTTTTGATTTTATATGTGAATGTCTTATTGCTTGTATCTTGATGGTTATTTAGCTTAAATTACCAGTTTTTATGTGTATCATTATTGTAATTCATTTATTTGCTTTTCAAAACTAAGTGTCTATTTTTATCGTTAAATTGATTTTTCAAATTTTATGGTATCTTAGGGTTATGAGTTTTGTATAAGAGGTTTATCGAATTCATTTGTTTGTTCATCGAATTTACTTAGACAATAATTTTCTTTAGATTTGTTTCTTATGCATATTGTGATTCAGTTACGAGCAAAATTTTATTCTCCCTTTGCAGATTTTCTGGTACTATAAATCTAAATGTCATAAAAACTTTAAGATGAATAAGAAAGTATGAACCCGCAGGCCAGCCCGCAAAACCGCAGAATATAGGCGGGTCGGGTTTGGACACATCAATTTGGGACCGCAGCTTATGATGGGCCAGCCTGCTAGACCCGGAAAAAAAAATAAATCCGCATCAGATCGGGCTACTTGGACGCGGATTGGCCCGTTTGACATCTCTACAAAATACTAACTATATTTAAACTTAATAACTTAAAATTACAATTATAATCCAAAATATGAGTTATTTTTATTCTAAAAATGATAAAAACCCCAAAATAATATAAATATAATAAATTTTTAGTTATATTTGTTAAGTTTTGCCAAATTTTATTTGAATTTAACCAATTTTATTCAAATTTAATTATTTTTTATTTAATTTTTATTATTTTTTGGATATCCAAATCCGAATCCGATCGAATATAACCGAATTCGAACCGAAATTCCAAAAATACCCAAATGGGTTTTAAATTTGAAAACCAAAAATCCAAAAACCCGAATTATCCGAACCGAATCCAATTGGATACGATTGGATACCCAGGCCTACTTTTACTTCACCATCAAACCGACCTTTATTGGAAAAAAAAATAGCATAGGTGAAATACGAAAACCCTAAACAAAATAATCAAAGCCACCGGCACTTTCTTCATTGAGAGAAGGATCACAATGACGATGATATCGGAACTTCCAGAGAATTTGTTAGAAGAGATACTCTTTCGTATTCCGGCAAGATCTATCAAACGTTTACGATCTACTTGCAAACGATGGAAACGTTTATTCAAAGATAAGAGATTCACAATAAGCCACTTCGATAAAGCCCCAAAGCAGTTTCTTAGTTTCATGTTGAGTGAATCTAGGCTATCTTTGATGCACAACAATCTCCATCGATTTTCACCTGTAAAGGTCACAAGTGAACTTAACCTAATCGACTCTCATTCTGGTTTTGATCAAATCGGGATTCGGCAAGTGTTTCAATGCGACGGCTTGTTGTTATGCCTCACTAATGAGTCAAAGACTAGGATCGTGGTATGGAACCCATGTACTGGTCAAACAAGGTGGATCAATCATTACAAGCTAGACACCACATATGCTCTCGGGTCTTACCAAGACAAAAAATCCAACGATGTTAGCTACAAAATTCTGGCCTGCAGCTGCAGGGGTTATGTCGAACAACAAGAATTCAATATTTTTGAGATGAACTCTTATTCATGGAAGATTCTTGATGTCCCTTTGGATTTTCAATTAAATGTTTTTCATTATGGCGTGTCTTTGAAGGGAAAGACTTACTGGATTTCTAGAGATGAAAAAGAGCCCAGCAAAATGTTACTAGTAACTAGTAAGTTTTGATTATACATCAGAAATATTTGAACGCCAATCTCTTCCGCGTAAGGATTCAAGTTATCGAACTCTGTCTCTATCCGTTTTTAGAGAAGAAAAACTTTCCGTGTTATCACAATGCAAAGTTACATCGAAGATAGAGATATGGGTGACAAATAAGTTTACTGAGACCAAAACGGTGTCCTGGAGCAAGGTCTTACCCGTGGATTTAGATCCTGGTTCTGAGGTTTGGCCTGGCGGAAGTTTCTTGTTCGATGAAGAGAAGAAAGTTCTCGTGTGTTGTGATGGCTTACAGTACAATAAAAAAGCCACGGTATACATTTTTGGAGAGGACAATGAAGTTAGAAAAGTGGATTTTAAAGTCGAATCATACTTGCCATATCTGTTTAATTATGTTCCAAGTTTGATTCAATTCTAGCAAGGTCTTGCAAAGCAAAAGATTTTGAGGCGAATGAGTAAGCTACATTCATAAACTTTTTTCGGTTATATGTGATTTGTTTATTTCACTGCTATCTTGGTCATGTTCTTTTGAATGATTAATAAACTGATGTTTTGTTTGTCTGAATTGGTATTTCTTACTTTTTACACAAGGTTTTTAAGTTTTATGATCAAATTATGTTTCCTCACATAAATATGAATCAAGTTTCAGTTACAAGCTTTCCTAATTCTCTGACAAATCATTCATAAAACATGTAAACATTACAAAGCTTTTTCCTTTTTTCTGCTCTGTGCATAGATCAACTAAATCTACCTGATCAATACTGCTGTTATGTTTCAGTTTCAAAGCTTTGTTAATTATGTGGCAAGTCATTCATAAAACATGTATACTTTACATGGTTCTTTTTTTTTTTTTTTTTTTTTTTCTCGGCTCTGCGCCATCTAAAACCTTGCTTGAAGGTCACTATCTATGTGGAATATTATAGTCAAACACAAGTTTTGTTGAGAATTTTACACGATGTAATCACATGGAAATCAGATAATAAGAAACTTTCAATGTCATGTTTTTTAAAAATGGTTTATGACAATTTTTGGCAGTTTATTTTTATTATGGATCTAATTGTGTTTGCTAGATAATAATAATAATATTATTTTTATTTAAAAAAAGAAAAAAATATTTTTGTGTGCAAAAACTATAAATATCAATTATTTGAAATGGAGCTCGAAATATATATTTCCATCGCATAATCATGTTATTCGATATTTTAAGATTCTATTTAATGATTTAACAAAAATGCTACCAAAGATATTCTATTTTAAATATTATGTTCGGACATAGTGGTTGAATATATTTTCCGATGGTTTTCTCCACGCTGTGTAGGTTGTTCAAAATGGGGCCATCTCTTTAAGAATTATGCCGCCAAAAAATAAGATACTGTGGAGAGTAGCGCACAAAAGGCGATGATTGAGAATCAAAAGAACCTGGGGTCTAATTTGGGAACAAGCAAGATCACTTTAGTAGAAAACAATAAAGGTCTAGACATGACAGTTGAGATAGGAGCAGATAAACCTACAGAATCCACGGGAGCAGGGGATGGATGGTCCACTCCATCTAAACCAAGCAAAATTCTGGTGAAAAAGACAGAATTGAAATTTGGTGAAGTTTCAATTCTCTCTAATTCACAATATGAATTCTGAGTGGTAGAGATGAGACTGAAAATGCAAGAGTAGTAATACAGGAACTAGAACAGAACACAACACAAGGATTTTCTCTTCAAGAATATTTCATTAGTAAATCTGTTTGTAACTTACAAGTATACATAACCTGATTTAGAGCAACCTCAAAACACACATTGATTTGCTACACTAGCCTCACTTGTTCTTGAATCAATACGTGATTCAAGAACCTCTCACCCAAATCCCTTAGCACACTAGCTCACAAAAACTCATTCAGATTTTCGCTTACCTTTTGCTAAGAATTCTCTCAGTTGTGTTAAAAACCCTACAAGGTTTTCACACGCCTATTTATACACAATAGGACTTGCGGCTACTCCTACCCCAAACTCTCCTTGCGATTTCTCCAAATCTTCATGAGAATCTTCACCTTCCTTATCTTCTCCTAAGATAGAGGAAGCTTGATATTTTCTTCAAAGATCCTCCAAGATACTCCAAGCTTCCTATCCACGTCAGCTTCTCGTCTCTTGAAGTGTCCAGAATGTCCTGTAGCTCCAGCTCAGCTTCCACGTGTGTAGATTTCTTCGCAAGTCTTCCCGTGTCAGTTCCAGAGCTAGTCGGACTGCTACACGTGCTGCTCCAGCCTTGTTTGCATCTTCAATCTCCCCCTTTTTAGCATATGTGCTTCACAAGTACCTGTCCAGGAAATCGAGACCACAAACAACATACCAAAGCACTACAAGCCACACATAATTCTGAGGTGATTCCGATTAATCAAAAGATCTCCAAGAAACCAATGGAGTATCAAGTCTTAACATCAACGAGTTCAAGGAGATAAAAACAAAAACATCCAAAGCACAATGTCTTAAAATAAAACTAACACTCTCCTTACTCCCCAGAATTTAAAAACCCGTAAACACCCAAGAAACTCCCCCATAATTTATGCATCCATCGATTTCAATCTTCTCTCCCTGCTTGTGAGCACAGATGTTAAAAACTAATCGATGAGCAAACATATGTGTAAGTTCAGATAGGGTCTAACTGGACTTCCTTGTGACTGCAGCGCGTAGCATTGCCGTTACTACCCCCAGTTGCTCAAGAACTGATGCCACATCTTCAAGTGCTGTCCTGATTCCATCTGCATCGGCTGGAGCCTCAGGCACTCAAATCATTCCCAAACTCACGTTGTTGACTCCTCCAGTTGACATGTCTGGCTGGGCAGCTGTCGTAGGACGCGGATTCGATGTTGATGGACGTGATGTCGATGCTGACCCAGTCGTCTTCCGAGCCTCTCTCTTCTGTTTCCCTTTAGCCTTTTCCTCGGTAACTGCATCAGCTGCTTCCTTTTTGAGAAACGTTTCCCCACTTCGTGGATCCTTCTTGTATTTGATTGGAAAGATCCACATTTCTCATTCTTCAAGCTGAAGAATAAGTTTCCTCTTGATGACTTTGCTGATGAGGCAGGGGAACATCAACCATCGTCGATCTCCCTTGATGACCTTGCTCAGATCAAGCATCTGCTGGAAGATCATTCGGCCAATGTCAACATTGATTCCGTGCGCCAGCTTGTAGACCAACCTTGCCCGTTCCTCGGAGATATGATGCTTGTTTGTCGACGGAACCCAGTTGTAAGATGCGATGACCATCAGAGCAGCTATCCTCGGCGGGAAATCCCTCGAAGTTAATTCAGACCACGCCGACTGATGCCCCTGTGACAGATATCGTGATACCTCAGAAATTGGCACAAGATCTGCCTCTGCCTCTTCTTTTCTCTCTGCTTCAGCCAGAGGCTCACGACGTAGAATCTCGTTGATGATCCCCGGAGAGATTCGGACCTTTGCTCCCCTGATTCTCACTACGAATACCTGAAATGGATCACTTGGTGACTCTGATGGTAGTCCTGCATAGAACTCTCGCACCACCTTGCTCATGTATGGCTCG